CATTTTAAAAATGTTCATACTTTTATATAAATAATTTGTCTAAATTTTGCCATTCTCAATTCCTCTTAAAAACACGGACAAGAACCTTGTAAGGTGTTTTTTTATGCAAATTTAACGAGTTTTCTAGAGGCGTGTTCAAATCTGAGAAAGAAGTTTTAAGAATTTTTCTTTCTCTTTAGATAATGATTATTCGGAGATCGTGAGATGGGGTCTGGTGTGACGTAGGTTTTGGAAAAACATTTTCTTCATCTTGCCAACGTTTCGATCTTTATTGAGATCATCTTCAGGGCTCAAAGTGTTTGTTTTCTGCGTAATTGTGCCATTCTCGTGTGTCGTGTTGAGAGTGCCCTTTTTTTGTGAGGGGTTGTGAATATTATTATTTTATTAATGAAATGAAAGGTATTGGTTGAGATAAAAAAAGCGGATCGAGGTCACGATAGCTCAAGTGCTAGAGTAGCGGCGTATCTTGCCGAAGGTCGTGGGTTCGAATCCCGTTCGTGACACTGACTTTCATATCTCAACCAATACCTTTCATAAATATTAATTAATTGAAAAATTATTATTTGAAAATCGTCAGATGCGGAACGAAAGTTCAGTGAATAAATAAAATACATTTTCATTGCGTTTTTCATTTGCATATCTTTGTCTAATTAATCGATTCCTAAGATTCTTTTACTACAGTTGTCTTGATTAATTAATTCTTTACCTTTAATTTTTTGGCATTGCTTAATTTAATATTTTTAATTTTATTTATAACATTTTACATTTTTTTTGTGTGGTGATTAGTGACTGTTAGACAAAGATTATTCAGAAATCGTGAGACGCGGTCTGGTGAGATGTAGGTCTCAGAAAAACATTTTCTTTATCGTGCCAACGTTTCGATCTTTTATTGAGATCATCTTCAGGGCCTGGGATTTATGAACATTGTTTAAATTTTACAAATACATGTAGGAACGTGAAAAAAATGAATTTATACAATGCTAGAAATTTTATATTCAATTAAAGTTTTTTTTCACAACCTAAATGTATTTGTAAAATTTAAACAATGTTCATAAATCCCAGGCCCTGAAGATGATCTCAATAAAGATCGAAACGTTGGCATAGAAAATATTTTTCTAAAAACTAAGTCACACCGACCGCATCTCATGATCTTCAAATAATCAACATATTTATATTCAGAATAATATCAGGAATGTGAAGTAATAAACTAGCAAGAAATTATCCAGTTTAATGATACAGAACAGATATAAAATATTGATATATAAAAATTTGTTTGTCATGCACTGGTCGTGTTCAAACTAGTGCTTTAAGATGTCAATGGTTAATTTCATCGTACTTGAAACCATAGGATAATTAATAATGAACAGTATGAAAAAAATATGTGGTGATTAGTGACAGTTAGAAGATGATTATTCAGAAATCGTGAATTGCGGTCTGGTGTGATGTAAGTTAAATTTAAACAATGTTTGTAAATCCCAGGCCCTGAAGATGATCTCAATAAAGATCGAAACGTTGGCACGATGAAGAAAATATTTTTCTAAAAACTACATGAAAACGACAAGAATGACATATCTACACGGAAAACAAACACTTTGAGTGAGTACAAATACTATAATTGAATCGAAAATTTTCTAGCATTGTATAAATTCATTTTTTATTTATTTATTTTTATCTAAAATTTTCTTGCACTGTATAAATTCATTTTTTATCTAAAACTTTCTAGCATTGTATAAATTCATTTTTTTAATCTAAAATTTTCTGGCATTGTATAAATTCATTTTTTTCTTTTAATCTAAAATTTTCTAGCATTGTATAAACTAATTTTTTTCTTTTAATCTAAAATTTTCTGGTATTGTATAAATATCATTTTCTTAATCTAAAAGTTTCTAGCATTGTATAAATTCATATTTTTTCTCACCTCCTACATGTATTTGTAAAAGTTAAACAATGTTTATATATCCCAGGCCCTGAAGATGATCTCAATAAAGATCGAAACGTTGGCACGATGAAGAAAATATTTTTCTAAAACCTACATCACACAAGACCGCATCTCACGATTTCTGAATAATTATGAAAAAAAATTCGAGTGGTTGTATACGTTATTAAACGTTTAAAACAACGAACAAAGATTGTTTACTCCCTGCCACGAGGAATATCGAATATTCTGGGGGAACGTATGACGTCTGGAAAGTTAAGATATCAGAGAAAATGGGGTGGGTTCAATACCACCCCGAGGAGTATCGAGTACCAGACTACTATGTTTATACCGGGTAATGCTGTATATATAGTTTTGTGTTTTGTGCCTATTCTGTAATTCAGGGGTGCTCAAACGGTCGATCGCGATCGACCAGTCGATCGCGAGTGCTTTTTGAGTAGATCTCGAGAAGAAAAAAATTTNGTAAGTAGTCTAAAAATATTGAGGTAGATCGCCAGCAGTTCAAGTTTGAGCACCCCTGCAGTAATTGATAACCTGAAGTACAAACGAGACGTTAGCTTAAGGATATCGAAGTAGTATACTTATAAAATCAAAGAATCAGTAACTATAACGAGACGTCCAAATGGCTGAAATACCCGTGAAGGACCAGAAAAAGAATGAAAACACGCAGAGGGCCAGCGATGACCTCATCTGTTTGTCGTCCCATAAAACTCCTACTTCATATATAACCCTCTAAGTTACTAATTAAAGTTTCACGCCCTGGAAAAAATGCATTCAAATGTTCGACGAAGGAACTCGGCGTTTTCTTTTTAATTGACCTAATCCCAGATCGTTTGTTTAAAATATATTAAAAGACCACAAAAAAACTGCGCACACGTATTTTGAAGTTTATTTCGAAATATTTGTATTTTAATATTATATTAACTACTACGTACTTGTTTTAATGTTTATCAAATAAAAAGAGATAAGAAATTCATGAGTGTTATTTAAAATTATTCAATTTTGATTGTTTGAAAAAAAATTAAACAAAACGTCGTAAAATTATTTAGTGATAGAATAAATGATTAGTTATACTTCAATATATCACTATATAGTTTTCCGGTGTTTTGGTAAATTTTCTTTAAAACCAACCTAATTATATAATTTTTATTAAAACTCATGAATTTCTGATCTCGTTTAAATTGGCTTACATTTTTTTAAAAGTGTTTATACGATCTTTCCAAACTCCGATATATGAAATTATGAAAATTAAACAATGTAGAAGCAATATTTATGAGTTTTGTTTTTAGTGATTGTGATTTAGAGATTTCTGTGCATAGAAAAATATATAATTTTATTTGTAATAATATCAAGTTGAACTAAAAAAATAAAATAAATGATATATGATAGCAAAAGAAAGAATATAGATACTACTACTTCCACCATAATGAAATAATAATACCATTGAAATTTAAATAAAATTTATTTGTGTGGTGATTATTGACCGTTAGTCGATAATTATTCAGAAATCGTGAGATGCGGTCTGGTGTGATGTAGGTTTCAGAAAAACATTTTCTTTATCGCGCCAACGTTTCGATCTTTATTGAGATCATCTTCAGGGCCTGGGATTTACAAACATGGTTTAAATTTAACAAATACATGTAGGATGTGGAAAAAAGGAAATTAAAAAAAGCAAAAAAATATTTTTTATATTCAATCAAAGTATTTCTACTCACTCAAAGCGTTTGTTTTCTGTGTAATTGTGCCATTCTTGCGTGTCGTGTTGAGAGTGCCAGTGATATATTGCTGTTTTGTGTTTATATATGGTGGATTTTGAAGGGGTGGGGAAGGAAGTCGGTATAGAAAAAAGATATTTTTGTATAAGCCGTCGGCTTCTGTGAGGTGAAGAGCAGACGAAGGGAAAAAAACGTTGTTAATAGTTCGGCCAGATTATCCTTCGAAGATCGAAACGTTGGCACGATAAAGAAAATGTTTTTCTGAACCTACATCACACCAGACCGCATCTCACGATTTCTGAATAATAAAATTTATTATTATTTTTTAAACAAAAAACGTAATACGCTTAAAAATCAGAAAAAAATAGTAAAAAAGAGAAATAATCTATAAATTATCATATATAGTGAATTGATAATGTATAATTTTCTTCGGAAAACTAAGTAAATGTACAGCAACACGAGCGTGAAGTAAAATCGGAGGGACTTAAGGTGAAGAATAAGGAGACTTAGGAGAATTTAGTCGTATTGTAACAATATGCTATAATTTAAATCTCAGGTATATTTATCCTTTACATATATGTATATTTATTTAATAAACCATCCATAAAAAAACCCGACATACGATAGATTCTCAAACGTACATTGAATCTAACAAAAACCATACGTAACTAAAATGAATACAAATACAAAATAAAACTCATGGTTAAAGCAAGTGACCAATATTTCAGCAAAATATTTAATTGATTTTCATTTCCCTTAACTCTACTCATTATAACTGTATAAATATTTATTAAGGCAATATTGAAATTCAAAAAACCCAATTTTTTAACTAAAATCATAAATATTTATTAGTCCTTTTGCCTTGTAGTATATTTTTTATTATGCGTGGTTTTATTTTATTTGATACGTTAATTTAACTCATTAAGATTGATTTTTAATTAGTTTAATTTTCGCTTACATCATACATTATAATTTAAGTATGTTTCCCGTTAACCTTTACCTGATCCACATTGACAAAATAATTATCATTAACTGAATTTTTTTTCAACATTTTCTTAAATCTTGTTTTAAATTAAACATAAGCACAATTTGTTCAATATGAAATATTCTGTACATATTGTTTAAAGCCCGGGTATTTTTCACAAAGGGTGCTTACATCACCAGCCAGTCATTGTTTATTAATATATTTACGGATACGACGGCTGGTCGGAAATTTAAAATAAGCGTGGCAAGTTGGCATAAAGTTTACTGACCCAGTTCCAAATAGGCCACCCCCTTTTATAACCTGTTGAAAATCAGATAAAGAGGGCAGACGAGAAATACAAGTCGGATCAATAGGGAGGACTTACGCTCAAAGCCGACATCTCAGCCCGGTCTCGTTCCTAACTCGTCGTCGAAGGCATATCGGTTCAAGGCATTAGGTGGATTGGTGTTATAGGTTTGTTTACTGCGAGGATGTTGAGGAGATAGCAGTATTGTTATAACCTGCCAGCACCCCTTTACCCTCCGAGACCACCCTTCGGGAGGATCAATCTAAGGGCTCGTGCGCGCTCCCGCCCCCTTCCTTAACTGTGGCCATCCGGTGGTGCCGATACCGACCGTCCACAAAACTGTGACATGCTCTCTTTGCCCTATGTTCCTCTAAGAGCATAAAACGTATTTTCTCCTCGAGAACATTAATAAAAGTATTTTTAAAAAAAACAAATTTTTATAAAGAAAATCTGAAAGTTTGAAACCGAAAGACATGGATGAGCAGAAAAGATTTATGACTATAAATAAAGAGTTCTTTCTTGAATCCTTAAAATATTTATGTCTCATCAAATATCAGCCTTCGAAAGAGTTTTATAAAAAGCTCTTTTTTCCATATTTTCAGAAGCTGAAGAACGATGAATCTTAAGTTAAAGAACCATAACCATAAAAAGTTATACGATCTAATATACAATTCTTGTATACCTCACCCCCCCCCCGAAAAAAAACATGTTGCATAAATATCCACCTTCTGACAACTCTATAGGTCCTTTACCATATTTTCTGGGCCTGAATAACCCACAATATTAAGTCTGTGGTTGACCCGCTGTTGCGTTACTACACTGACAGACAAAAAAGGTGGTCAACGTTGTTTTTTTAAGTAAATACTTGCAATCATTATAATTTTTATTTACTGATATGTTTAAATAAAAATACAAGATATAGGTAAAAATTAACTGAATAAAACAATTTGACCAAAAAATTTTACTTAAAATCCAAGAAAGCTCCAGGTTTTGATCTTATTACTCCAAAAATTTTCCAACACCTTCCCAAAAAGGCCGTCATATTCAATACATACCTATTTAATTCTGTTCTTCGTACAACCTACTTCCCTATAGCTTGGAAGCACTCGTATATTCGAATGTTCCCTAAGCCAAAAAAGCCAACACATGTACTACTTCATATACGCCAATAAATCTACTACCTACTTTGGGTAAAATTTTAGGAAAACTCCTACTGAAAAGAATTCTTCCGATTCTAAATTCTCAAAACATAATCCCAGACCATCAATTTGGTTTTCGCAACCGCCACTCAACTGACCAGCAGTGTCACCGCGTGGTAGACATTATTTCATCCTCCCTTGAGATGGGACAGTACTGTTCCGGAGCCTTTCTTGACGTAAGCCACGCTTTTGATCGAGTTTGGCACCCGGGCCTGCTGTTCATGCTCAAGGGCATCCTTCCATCCACCTACTATCTCGTACTGCACAGTTACCTCACTGACCGATTCTTCCAAGTCATCGAAGGCCATTCCCTCTCTTCATATTTTCCTATCCATGCTGGTGTTCCTCAGGGTAGCGTTCTGGCCCCTACACTGTACCAGGTTTTCACAGCTGACATGCCATCTCATCCCGAAACCACCACATTCACATTTGCAGACGATACGGCAATTCTCTCTAGCAACTCCGACCTTGTCATTTCCACTCGAAACCTCCAACAACACCTCATACTACTAGAGTCTTGGTGTAAAAAGAAAAGGATAAAATTTAACACAGACAAATCCACCCACATTACTTTCACTCTTCGTAAAAAGATCCCCCCCCCTGTTTTCTTAAACAATATTCCCCTCCCAACTGCGGACAAGGTGCGGTACCTCGGATTGTACATCGACAAACGCCTGACGTGGAATCCTCACACAAGACTGAAACGTCAGGAGGTTATGACACGATTTAGAGTTCTTGCACGACTTCTTGACAAACGCTCTAATTTACCTCTCAAAAATAAAAGGCTGCTTTACAACACCATAGTTAAGCCGATTTGGACTTACGGACTGGAAGTGTGGGGTTCAGCCAAACATTCCAATATCCACCGCATTCAAACTGCCCAGTCTATAATACTACGAAAAATACTAGATGCTCCATTTTATGTATCGAACCAAACTACACATACAGATTTACATATTCCTTTCGTACAAGATGAAATACGTTTCCGTTACCGTAAATTTCATAAAAACCTCCCAACTAACGTAAACCAACACATCAGAAACCTCGCATCCCGACGAATCCCCTCAAACCCTCCCCGCCGACTGAAGAGACAATGGCCGTGAGATCTCCTAGGAAGTGATGGTGATGACAGTGAAAGTGATAATGAACACGCGTATCAATTGAACAAACAATATTATTGTAACATTGGAGTAATACCAATGGGTGTTTTCTACACTCTTGATTTTTAATTTTGTCTTGTTTTAATTACCTTGCTCACTATTACTTATTACCTACTTTAAGGTAGTTGTAATGTACTACAAATTATTTTTAAAAAAATATTGCTATAGAAGAATGAAGAAAATATTCAATTTAATACGGAGCATCTTCTTGCGTTGATAACCGCTTGCTTTGACGTGGCAATCATTTTATGAGGTTTTGAATGTATTGCTGCGAAATATTTTCATACTCATCCAACCCCGCCTTGTAAATTCCTGCAAATTCTCTGGCATCACTGGGCGACGTAGTAGTAAAAAAGGTAGTAGTAAAAAACCCGCGAGTGAAGACAGACCCAGTAGTGCCCGTGTGTCAGTTCAACATGAGTTCGCCGACTCACAGACCAAACCCCATCATCTACTATAACACAGCTAGTCAGGCTAGGTTATTTAAAAGGTATGTACACAACACCATTGCTAACATTTGGTTTAACAAACAATGCCTCACTAACAACATAACCCCGACTTTCTCTAAACTTAAATTAAAAACTAACACATTCGCTGCAACAACAGCCATCAAAAAAGCACAAATAACATAGATAAAAACAGAAATACGCTCCCTATACATAAAAAAACAGACTCAAGAAAGAACTCCTAGACCTACACCTGATTATTAGCAACCTACTCCCTCCAGAAGCACTAACAGACTTCATCGAAAACAACCAGAACAACACAAAAACACTAGCTCAACAAAAATACACAAAATTAAAAAAGAAACTAACAAACCTCAGTAAACACAAGCCCACCAACACCGAACACACAACAGACAACTCCTTCAAAAACCTCACACAAACAAAATTCAAAACCAATGAAACAAAACTATTACAAAAAGGACTAAAACACAACATAAAGTCCACCAAAACAGAACGTAATATAACACAAGCCATAATTGACACAGAATGTTCTGGACGCAACACTATATAAACCTTACTCAGACAAAATGACAGACAGTTTCTTACTGAAGATGGCGTAATGCCGAAACGCGTTTGAATAACTCAAACAAAGAAACCCGCGAGTGAAGACCCAGTAGTGCCCGTGTGCCAGTTCAACATGAGTCCGCCGACTCACAGACCAAACCCCATCATGTACTACGTTCCAAGTAGTCACCGTCAATCCTAGCTGTGTGTGGCCTTGAATTGTCATGCATAAAACCAACGCCGTGATAACGTATGTTTAATGTATCGCGCTCCTGTTATGTAACCCTCACCGAAGATCAAGTTTTTTCGACCTTCCATAGTAATTCCTGCTCAAACCATAACACCATCTCCATAGCTTCTCCGAAGGAAAGTATTGCGAGAATATATCGCGCTCCTGATCTATTCCAAACCCTCCCTCGTTCATCAGATGCCCTCAAGTAAAACCTCGACTCATACGAAATCAAGATTTTAGTCCTATATTGCTTAGACCAATATGATTTCTTGCGAAACTTGACCCAGCTTTTCTGTGCCTTGTCAGAAGTTCTAGACCTGACGATAGTTCTAACTTGTTGAAGTTCTTCATCTTCCATCTTCAAACAATCCTACGATTCTTGCCGACCTGTATCACTGACCACCATGAAAAATCAAAAAGGCTACTAAGAAGCGGGGTTTGTGCTCCCCAGGCACTGCAAACTTTTGGCTAATGTACCTACTGACCACCATCACTCAAACAAATTTGACACGTAAAAATGCTACAACTTAAACTAATCAAACCACCAGAACTTTAGAAAAAAGCTTTACAGAAAAACCAATAAATAAGAGATTGACTATTTTATTAAAAACACCGATTTATTTACAAAATCCAATTGTAAACAAAATTAGGAGATCCTTTAAAACGCACCAAATCTTGTTGTAAGATAATAAATGGAGGATTGTTTAAGAGGTAATTAAAAACATTGAAGGTGGCCACTTTATTCGCCAACAGTGGGAAGAAATCGATTCATAGGAATTAAAGTGGGTGTCTGTCAAGGCTATTGTTTATCACCTGTTCTTTTAGCATGTACATCGACAATATGGTACGTCGATGGCAATGCGCACTAACCTACCCCCCCTACATCAAAATGGACTTCGTTTTCAGTACGCTTCTGTTTGCGCACTCTCCAGCAAACCAGTAAATGGACTTAGATGTTAAGATCATTATGTTAGTGGTCTGATTGACCAAATTACTTCTTTCGATTAATTATTATTTTTATGTAAGGTCTTGGTTGAAATGGAAACGTTAATGTGTGTTTGTTTGTGTGTGTGTGTGTGGGCGCGCGCGCTTGTGTGCGTATCCCGCTCGTGACACTAACTTTTTCATTTTAACCAAAACCTCAGATAAAAAGAATAACTAGCTGTTAAGAATCAAGTCCGATCAAAATCGTCATTAACTTAATTAAGGTTTTTAGTTGAGATAAAACAAGTCAATGGCACGAGCGGGATTCGTATTATTTTATATTTATTTATATTTTATCTCAACTAAAAACCTTAATTAATTGTAATACATTAATTGGTCAAGTGTTCCACGAAATTAGTGAATTTAATGATTAAAAATGAAGTATACTTCACTAAAGCTCTCCGTGGCCATTTCATTTGTCGTCGAGAATCCAACCCGATTACACGACATTTGAAAAATGGCAAAAAGGAAGGAAAATTCAAAAGGTGCGGTTGAGATGGGAAGTTGGTGTCCGAGTGGATCGAGGTCTCGATAGCTCATGTGGTAGAGCAGCGGCGTATCAAGCCGAAGATCGTGGGTTCGAATCCCGCTCGTGCCATTGACTTTTTTATCTCACCTAAAAATCTTAATAAATTGTAATATATTAATTGGTCAAGCGGACCACGAAATTAGTGAATCGTCATTAACTCAGTAAAGGAGCAAGGTTCACAGAGATTAGACGGTTGCAAAGAAGCTCTTGGGATAGAAGTACAAAAAAGCCTAGCTCAATTTTTTACAAAATGATGGCAAACCAGTGCTGGCATTAGAAAGCGAATCTTTACCCTAACGCAGGGAATCTAAACAACAGAAATTATGGAGATCATAATATTGGCAATCTAGAAAACTGGTTTTATGTTCCCTGCAGCCTTCTGGCTTATTGTACTTTCCCTACTTTCTTAGTTAAGTTTAACTGAAACGATCTGTCTTTTAATATAAGGTCATAGATTTTCGTTGCTTCAATTCCTTTCCATAGGTTTTTGTTTTATTCCAGGTTATGTCACAAATATTCGCTGATATCGCTTTATCTTCAATGTTTGTTTAGAAAATATAAAAGACTGCCGAGATGGGTAAATAGATAGTAGTAGATGGCAAACAAAGGTAATCGAAAATAAATATGTAAGGGAAGAAAGTCAAGGAATATAGTTTGTATTTTTAAAATCTATTATCTTTGCAAAAATTCCTATCCAAAACATTATTCCTGACCATTGATTGGCTTCCGTAATTTCCACTCCACAGTCCATCAAATACATCATGTTGTAGATGGCATCCTAAAATCCCTAGAGCGTGAGAATTTCTGCCCTGGAATCTGACTAGACGACTCCAGTAGTTCGATGGTGTCTGGTACCATCCTTAATTAGAATTGCTGAAACATTTCTTTTCTAGTACATACTATTTCATCTGAAAATCTTATCTGATCTTTCTTACATGTTACTTATTGAACCTACACCTTTCCGCTTCATTTATTCCACTCTAATGTTTCTCAAGGGAGCATCGTATGTTCGTTACTATTCAGCATGTACACACCTTGAACTTACCAGTTCGACCTTATTGAGACCGCCTACCTTAGAAGCGTGGTTCCGTAAACGAAAATTAAAGTAATGAAAACAACAACCAACGTATGTCCTTTATCCTAAACGCAAAATACACGGTATATCATTTCTTGATTCTCAGATCGTGTCAAATGCTTGAGACTGCACGTAGACAAAAGGTTGACATGCAATCCACACAGCTCCTATACGGCCTAAAGAACTGGAACTGTACTGGACGGCTAAAATTCAAAACTTAACCGGGCCTAATCCCCTTAGTCAAAAATCCTCCGCAAGACAAACTGTGCTCCTTTCTTTGTTAATATTCGTACTTAGGACTCCACACCTACAAATTCTTTAAGTTATTGACCTAGATCAAACACATCACAAATCCGATATTTCAAATTCCATTGTAAATTGACGATATAATCCAGCTACCTCATCCTTAACCCTGCCAATTTTCCTAGGTCATTGCATGCAGTCGAAGATGCTGCCTTATTTTGGTCACCCTTAACACGCCGCTCATGGTTTTTTCCATATAATCCTTGTGTTTACTACAAAAGAGTATTTATTTTTTTAATGAGGGTTCGCAAAATGAGGTTCCCGAACACTCGTCGTCACAAAACTAGAGGATCTTTAGCGTCCGCACCTGGCCTATTCGGCTTTATCGGACGTTTTGATCCTCAAGATGAGAGCTGACGCACATTCCGCATACGACGGAATGCGTTACCGCCGCAGCATTGGTGTAGAGACGTCTCTGCCCCGAAGGGCCAACACAACCTCGCTCTCCGCTTGTCCACTCCTAATGGTCGGGCACGCATTATGCGCCGGGTCGTGTGCCGGGCGCAAAGGGCTAACAAGCCGAAATACACCAGCTTGTTCTCCCGCGCACTCCCTAGATAAAGAAGGCCACTCTATCTCCCAGAATATTGGGGCTTCCCATAGCGTAGAAACTTCCGGATCCGCCCCGGCCGCGGTTTTGTTTTAAGTGGAATTGCTAACCATCCCCTAGAGGGTTCGCAACAGCAGAGGTTATATCAACCCTTCAGGGTGCCGGCGTTGAAAAGAAAGCCCATTTGTAAGTGTTTACGCCTGAATTTAAATTTTATTTTTGTTTTAATTTAAGTTGAGTTTGTTTGGTCTCGTTGCCACGGGGAACGAATGTTTACGCCTCCCGTTGCTATGGGAACCAAATGTTATGCTTTCGGTTGCCATGAGCACCAGTGTTTACACGTCGCCGTTGCTACGGTGAATTGTTTTGTATTTTTCATTACCATGGAAACGCTCCTTCTTTTCTTTGATCAAGTCCAGTCAACTGGACCAGTCGCGTCTCAACCGCCAAGAAGACAGCATACGCTCTGTTTCTTAAATTTAGATGTTTCAGGCAGTAATTTTATATAAGTTATTTTGTATTGTAAATCGATAGTTCAACGTTCTGTACTGTTCAACAATACGGGCTTATTATTATTATTATTCGTCCGCCGCAATACAATCAGTTGTATTCTATGTCTTGATTCACAACGACCGCACGCCTGACATCTTCCCGCACCGCAGCAGAAGTGGACCCGACTTCATAATCTTTCCCGCACAACCGCAACGCCACGTCACATCTATACATCAAGAGTACTCACAAGTGAACTTGTAGTTTAATTTAAATATATATACTTTTTTTTGTATCTTCATTTTAACATAGTTTTTTCTTTCTTTTCTAAATTCATTGAAGAGCTCTTCCGTTATTTCTCTGTTTAATTAATTTTTAATTTAAAACTAATACTATAATTTTATTTCATAGTATTATTATTACAATAAGAAACTAACTTTGTTTACCTTTGCCGTAACTTTTTCTTATAATATATTTGTTATTTCTATTAGATAACATTTTATTTGCATGCTATTGCCTATTAACGCTATCTTTAAGGATTTTTAATATACAGAAGCTCTCATCTAATCAGGTGAGTGATTTGAGTGGCAAAGTGTCGTAAAATAGATCTGGCAACACATTTGGGAAAAGGATTACCTCCCACAATCGGACGAGGTCGCTGAATACCCAACAGTATGTCGGGTTCGAATGCAGGGCCGCAGGATTCGAACCCAGGACCTTTACCTTACAGTGATGAACGTTGTGTCAACGCCTAAACCGTTGCGACCACCGACGCCCCTAAAAAAATTGATGCAGTTATAAATTAATAGTAATTTTAAAAATCTTCTAGTCAGCTTTATAGATTGGATTTTTTTAATCGTATTCTTTGATTCTATAGTAAACGTTTACACTGATCTTTTTTATAAACTGAGTACGTTCGATCCTAAGATACTGTCCGATTGTCCGTTGAACTAATCACGTCGTCTTCAGTGTTGGTCTATTTATTATACGTCGTTTTTGACAACAATGATGTGTTTTACCTAAGACCTGTTTTTAAGCAGCGTCAGAGTTTTAACTGGTTTTGGCCGTCACGATCAGAACTTATTCTTTCATTTTTAGTATTGGTTAAACAAACTTTCCCACCATCCAAATAGTCTTGCCCAAGCCCTGTCCGATAGAACCCATCCCTACAACCCCATAAGTCGTCTTAAGAGGAAATGGCCCCGCGACCTCCTTTCCGAGTGAACTGAAAAAAAAAAAAACAAAGTGAAGAGGGAGGATAGCACTGACTATTTTCTCCCCTCAATGTAAATAGTTGTACATATATATAGTTGTTCATGTATCCGCAAATTACATGTTGTAAATAATAATTGCAGATTGTAATAAAATAAAAAATTTAAAAAAAAAAAAGTATTGGTTAAATAAAGAGAAAAACTTGAAATGTTGAGGTGGAAGTAAAGGAAAAACTATCGATATTCATTACTTTTTATATATTTACATTAAATAAATGAAAAAAGAACTAACACACATAATCTCACTTATTAAATATGTTTATTATATTATGTTATATAAGTCTAAGTAGTAGTAGTCAGAAAAGATTTACTTAGCAACGTTAATCTTTTTGGCTGCTCGCTCCTGGCTTTGTCGAAAAAACTTCTGCTTCTAATGTAACTGATTTGTTTCCTTTTTTCAACGGAATTCTGACTTCGCCTTCCTTCGTTTTGCGTAGTATGATATTTTTCTCACACCAGCGATGCTTCCTTGAATGGAGGACTTCCTTTTGGGCGTTGGCCTGTTGCCTCAAGACCTCGTAGTCGTTCTTGTTTTTGATCCAATCCCTGAGGAGCCGTTTCCTCGCCAGTTTCCAGACTGTCACGAATAGATCGCCCTGTGTGGCGAAGTCCCTTGTCGCGTATTTCATTATTATGTCGTTAAGAACCATCGTCGCGTCCTCGGGTTTACCCTCGAGGTCTTCCATCAATTTGTAGGTCGCCACCTCTTCCTCCAGTTCGGCTTCAACCTCCATCCCTTCCTCTTCCTGTTCTTCTTGGAATTCTTCCTTTACGTCCTCGAGTTCTTCATCGAATTCTTCATATTCTAAAAGGGATTTGAAAAGCCGGATGGACGGAGAAAAGGTGGATACTGTGAATTGGTGAGCCGAACTAGCGTGTGCGATGAAAGGGAATGAGTTGTCGACAGAAACGACGTTACCGTCATCAGGCAACGCCCACACCACCTGGGAACAACCGATTAATTAATTATTTCTCTTATTTGTAAAGCTTATTCTCGCTATTTGTATAAGCCATCTCTAACCGTTTTTTATTGTACTAGGTTATTAAAGAAATGTTTATGCTTATACTAGGTATTTTTTAAATCAAGCCATTATATGTGTACCAAACCCATCTTTACATTTCATTTGCTATCATTTACGAGACGGTCAGATGAAAAATTTGTGATTCATTATTTTCTAAGACAATAAGGGAAAGACAAATAGGAAGCAATAAGGATATTGGACTATATTTTTTATATGTTTTTATGCACACGAGCAGCAACGTTAAATAACAAGATTACTCGTTATCAAACAGGATTTCATTTGCGGATTATTGGTGATTTTAGCTTAAATGCCACCATAAGTTGTCATTTTATAAAACGACTAGAATATCCGACCATGATGAAATCTGCATGATTGGTCACAGGGCCAAGCAAAATTACATGTTCCCCAAGAACTCTAAATCAAAATGGAGCATTGCGAAAGTTTTACTTTAGCTAGCAAGATGACAGAGGAGTTTTTCCTCCGGATTCCAACTTTTTCTCCATTGCGACATACCGTGGAACCCTTTTGACTATGATCTTACCGTGTAAAGCCAGTTTTTTTTTAAGAATATGTTTTTCTGAAACCTACATCACACCAGACCGCATCTCACAATTTCTGAATAATTATCGAACAACGGTCACTAATCACCACACAAATAAATTTTATTTAAATTTCAATAGTATTTTTATTTCATTCAGTAAACTTTATGCCAACTTGCCACGCTTATTTTAAATTTCCGACCAGCCGTCGTATCCGTAAATGCATTAATAAACAAAGACTGGCTGGTGATGTAAGCACCCTTTGTGAAAAATACCCGGACTTTAATCAAAATGTACAGAATGTTTCATATTGAACAAATTGTGCTTATGTTTAATTTAAAACAAGATTTAAGAAAATGTTTAAAACAAATTCAGTTAATGATAATTATTTTGTCAATGTGGATCAAGTAAAGATTAACGGGAAACATACTCAAATAATACTGTATGATGTAAGCGAAAATTAAACTAATTAAAAATCAATCTTAATGAGTTAAATTAACGTATCAAATAAAATAAAACCCGCATAATAAAAACTATACTACAAGGCAAAAGGACTAATAAATATTTATGATTTCAGTTTAAAAATTGGGTTTTTTTAATTTCAATATTGCCTTAATAAATATTTATACAGTTATAATGAGTAGAGTTAAGGGAAATGAAAATCAATTAAATATTTTGCTGAAACCATGAGTTTTATTTTGTATTTGTATTCATTTTAGTTAAGTATGGTTTTTGTTAGATTCGATGTATGTTTGAGAATCTATCGTATGTCTGTTTTTTTTTATGGATGGTTTATTAAATAAATATACATATATGGAAAGGATACATATACCTGAGATTTAAATTATAGCATATTGTTACAATCACGACTAAATTCTCCTAAGTCTCCTTATTCTTCACCTCAAGTCCGTCCGATTTTACTTCACGCTCGTGTTGCTGTTCATTTACTTAGCTTTCCGATGAAAATTATACATTATCAATTCACTATTTCATAATTTATAGATTTTTCTCTTTTTTACTATTTTTTCTGATTTTTAAGCGAATTACGTTTTTTGTTTAAAAAATAATAATAAATTTTATTATTCAGAAATCGTAAGATGCGGTCTGGTGTGATGTAGGTTTCAGAAAAACATTTTCTTTATCGTGCCAACGTTTCGATCTTTATTGAGATCATCTTCAGGGCCTGGGATTTACAAACATTTACAAACACTAGTTTCACATAGTTTAATTTTTCAACAATTTAGCTTTCCTTTTCCTATTTATCCCGTCTATATAATCCTGAAAGGATAATCTGGCCGAACTATTACCAACGTTTTTTTTCTTCGTCGGCTCTTCACCTCATAGAAGCCGACTCCTTATACAAAAATGTCTTTTATATACCGACTTCCTTCCCCACCCCTTCAAAATCCAACATATATAAACACAAAACAGCAATATTTCACTGGCACTCTCAACACGACACGCAAGAACGGCACAATTACACAGAAGACAAACACTTTGAGTGAGTAGAAATACTTTGGTTGAATATAAAAAATATATTTTGTATTGTATAAATTCACTTTTTTCCACATCCTACATGTATTTGTTAAATGTAAACAATGTTTGTAAATCCCAGGCCCTGAAGATGATCTCAACAAAGATCGGAACGTTGGCACGATAAAGAAAATGTTTTTCTGAAACCTACGTCACACCAGACCGCATCTCACGATTTTCGCATAATCGTCGACTAACGGTCACCTAATCACCACACATTTCTCCTGACAAAGTTGGCACGTTTCTGTCTCTGTTTTGTCCAACTTCTTTAGATGGTAGTTAAGAGGGCAGAGGTCTATAATTGTTCCTAGAATCTTGCCTGTTGAGTCCTTGAGTCAGGTTTTTCTCAAATCAGTTTTTCCAGCACCAACTTTAGCACATTCTCCGCTGCGCCTAGTTTTATCCCCGTACCATAGGTGAAAGAGCCCTTTGTGTCTACTTCTACAACGCCATGTCCCGGAACCTGGAGGGCTATCAGATAATTTAGACCCAGACTAGTTTGGAGCTAAAAGTATACGCACTTAGTGCCTTTATAGCTGTCTGACTAGTCGGCCCTTTTACAAGTGGGTCATTACCTAAGTACTCTGTTTCTTTGGAGAACGTTAAACATTCATCTTTTATATTGGGTGGTTTTAAGTTTAGCTTCTTTGTTCTTGTGAAACCTACATCTTGGCATGAGAACGTTTTGTTAGGTGTTATATTTAAAACCGTTTTCTCACATCATCTTCCTACAATAATTAGACCGTTTTGCATCCGATTGGACAGAGTGCATGTATTTATACACAATCTGAAGAACATTAACAACTTGATCTTTGCTTGGAAAATAACAGATTTTCTGTTGATCAATTGATTATTTCTACCGTAGGATGTAATCGGCATTTATCACATATCAATGTGAGATGTATTTTGGATGATGTGATGATTGCGGGGTGATGAATCAATTAGTCGTTATTGATCACTTTGGTCGGCTTATCCTCGCTATTTAAATCTGTCTGTATTTTGGTCTGTTACGCTTTCGGTTTCTCGCCATCAGTGGGTATGATCATGTGATCTCCTATATAGCGAGGATAGGTGTACCGAAATGTTTGTAAACATTTTAAGCTACAACTTCATAATTTCAAATAGTACATCGACAATAGGCGGAATAGTAGTAAAAAGTGTAGTACAAACTGTTGGTAGAATGGTACTTACAACTTTTTCCGATAAGCTTATTATCTCCAAACTCCGGCAACCTCCACACATCACAAGGTCGCCGTCAATACCGCGTACAAACGTGTGTTCATAATCGCGGAGAAATTTGCAGCAGTACGGGTACTCCCCTCTGCTCCCGAGCACGCGATTTGTCGGAGATATTCTCATTGGACGAAAAGTACGGATGTCGTAACACAACAAACTGTCTTCAGACGTCCACTGGCCGCAGAGTAACTTGTTCCCCTGAAATAAAATTACATTTAGATGGCAGGTATGAAAGAATGAGACTGTTGTCGTACATAGCAGTCAATGGTATCTCCACAGATTAACGGTCCGACGAGGTTCTCGACGGCCAATGCTGTCCTTAAATCCCAAACCTGAATGAAAAAAGTATTTATTTTAATGGTTTCAAGCACTTTCAAAACCAACTACCTCCCCCCCTTCCACTTCCCGGGCGTACCAAAGGGTACCCCATACTGGCGGACCTCTTAAGGGGATTAAAACAAAGTTTTTCTCGGACTCGTCCTAAGATTCTAGTTGGGTCTCCCCATTGCTGGCTAGTCCCTTTTCCATAAAATTATTACTAATTCAATATTTTCTGTTGTTAAGAGGTGTCACGGATCCAAACCCGGACACTGGTGATAAGAGTAGTAAGTGGGCATAAGCAATCATAAGGCAAGAAGTGCTCAGCGACCGCTTGTCTTCTTCTCACGGTTCCGTAAGTCCTCTAAGCCGAAGGTTGTCCATTTTTTACAAAGAACTTTTTTATGTTGATTATTTTTCTGAATCGCCAATAAAGGTGTTAGTTACATTTGTGTTGAGTTGTTTTTCTTTCCTTTTATTTTTATTACGCTCTGGTGTAACTCTGTCGATTTTGGGCCGTTTTTTGGTGCACCGCGAGGTCAGAGGTGACAGAGGATATTTCAACTACGGGTTGTATGAACCTTCGGAGTGCCGATGTTTAACAAAAAGACCATTTTAATTATGCAGGGCCGCTGGATTCGAACCCGGGACCTTAACCTTACAGTGATGAGCGCCGTGTCAATGTCTTGGCAAGCACGTGACGCGGTATAGCGTCCCTTTTTATAGTATTGATATATGAACGGAACAGCGCACATTGAGACGCGAAGCATCACAGCACAGCTGACTGACGCGCGGCGCAGTGGCAGTGGTACAGATTTCGACCGCATGTTGGAATCGCGTTGCACTCTGCAGCATGAATTATTCTTTTTCAAAATGGACGTTCTGTTCCAACTGTTTTCGGCGATTTTATTTCAGAATAACGCTATATATTCATTCTATACAGCGACAGAAGTTAAACCTAAGAGATATTAAAAACAGGGTATTAACATGGTTGTTGCAGAGAATGGAAGCAAGAGGAAATCAGTGATGAAAGGATTAAACAATTGGAATCAAATGCGCCTGCCCAGCCGTTGCGTCCACCGACAACCCCTTAAATTTTATGACTTCAATGTAGAAACGTGAAATTTGTAATCGTACGATAACTCGCACGAAACTGACGAACACCTTAATTAATCCATTTTCAGAGTGTTTAAACAAAATGACGAAAAAATATTGACGCTAAACGGATAAAATCAAATTATTCAAAAACGCTACGGACTTATTTTACAACCCAATATTGATGTTAAGGCTTATTTTTCATGTATATTCATAGAAAAAATTTCAAACCTTTACAGTTCCATCCAGTCCACCTGTAAAAAACACATTACTGTTTTCGTCCATGAACTTGACAGCGTACAGTCTCAAATAGTGGCCTTCGTCTTCAAGCAATTTTGCTTTGAAACTTTTCAAGTATTGGTTGATAATGCTGTGTTTGTAGCTGTCGTAAGATTTTTCGATCTGAAACGGTACAAATAAGATGATTATTTCGAATAGATATTCATTTTCACCTAGATTTCTTTTTTCCTTGTGCTACTATGAGTACTTTTTTTCGTATTTTCATATTTTATTTTATTTCATATTTTCAGAGGTCACCTCGGGGAACCGGTGTTTTTGAAAAAAAGAAAAAAAAATTGTAAGTATGTCGGGTTCGAATGCAGGGCCGCTGGATTCGAACCCGGGACCTTTACCTTACAGTGATGAGCGCCGTGTCAACGCCTAAACCATTGCTGCCACCAACGCCCCCTATATGAGTACATTTAGTGAAGACATTTGCTAAGCTCATTCCTCTATTTTGGTCGAAACTTATCAACCATCTATGATAATTACTGTACCCTTTTATGTCATACTTGTATTTTTGGCTGTAAATAATTTCAAATTTTCACCTTTCTTGTGTCCACATTGTAAATACGTATTGTCGCATCACTTCCAGCAGTTATGATTCTTTTATTTCTGTGCCCGATATCCAGCGCTTCGATCTCATTATCCTTTTCTGTGGAGTATTATTATTTAAAAAAAGGCGTTTAGACTGATAAGACCGGAATTTACCTGTAGTGAATAAATCGCATTCCCATCCTTTTACATTCTGACTGCAATAATATATATTGCCTGCTCTTGAAACGGCAAATAATGATGCCGTTTCAGGCTGTTCTATAAATTTAATCCTCGTGATTCTCGAACAATCCTCATAAGGTTCCATTGTTACTTGAGTATCGGCGCCTACGTTCCAAATCTGATTAGAGAACAAATTTGACTCTGGGTTCGGAACATTTAAAATGTCTTATTAGATCTATTTACCTTGACGATCCCATTGCCATGACCTCTTGCTATGTATCCGACATCAGAAGTCATGGCCAGACACGAAACACCCAACATTGTATGTGGTTCGTAGAACCTGTCTAGAAAAAGGCCCCCACTGACACGGTACTTACCCGCATGGGGTAGATAGAATTGGCTCATTAATTTTGTCTTTATATTTTGAATTTGTGCCGCCTTTTCGGAAAAATATGACAGCCTGTCTTCGAAATAGTCTTCGCAGAAATCCCTCGGCAGCCAGACCTGCCTTCTGTTTTCCATAGACACATCCACCTTGCCACGTACCTCCATGAAGATGTCTTTCTGTTCGTCGGAGTACTCAGGACGGAAGTGGGCCGTCTCTGGTACAAACTCCTCTTCGGAGGTGTCATCTTCCAAGACTTGGTGGTAACCTCCGACATTGAAATCAGAAATCCCCTGAGGAAGTCCCACTTTCTGCTTTTCTTTTATTTTCTTAGCCCTGTCCTTAAGAGACTCATAAATCCTGAAAAAAATTCTTTTGAAGATACCAATTGAACTTTTTTTTTATTAATTGTTTTTGAAGCCTATACATATTAAGTACATATTACAAATATGATCACAGCACTAACACTAAAGCCAGCACTAGCATGACCTGGAGGAAACATGCCATAGGAAACCAAACAATGCTGACAATCACTGTTACAAAAACATAAATTCCATTAAATACTTCTTACAAAAATTATTATATCAACCTAGAAACATGTAATAATAAATTTAAAATAGACATTTTAGTCATTCTACTAATACAGCAGCACATCCTAGCCCCTCATTCGAATTTTTGGAGGAAAATGGGGAATTTCTGTATATATAGATTTTTTATTGCAGGTAATTTTACTTATTAGTTATATCGTTATCTTGATCATAATCGATATTAGATGTACAAGATGTACAATTTTTTTGTAAATCCACAGGATCTTTAAATTACAGTAATGAGCACCATGTCAATGCCTAAACCGTTGCAACCACCGACGCCCCAAAATTTAATGTCAAACATTTTCATAAATTCCACCGATTCATAGCCAGTTAAATTGTGAGATTTCTACATGTGGTATGTGGGGTGATGAACCTGTAATTTGGCCATTTCCTATCATTTTTGTCAGCCTAGCCTCAGTAAGATGATCTGTCAGGCGTGGCAAAATACTCAAATATCCGTGGCAAAATATCCAGACCAAAATGCTTAATTGAACTTGTATAAATCAATCAATCAATCAGTAATTCTAGACAATTTTGTATTTTTTATCTATGCCCTAAAAACTAATTTAATGTCAATCATTTTCATTAATTCCACGGGTCATAGCCAGTTAAATTGTGAGATTTATCTATGTGGGCTGCAACAGTTTGGTCTGCTAATTCTGAATGGGTTCGTCTGTCAAGACACGTTGAAGATGGCGAAACTCTTAAATAAATAATTTGTAAATTTATACTTGTTAGTTTTATGTCAATAACTCTTAAGGTCACGTGATATTCTTAAGATTTTTTTTAAATATTATAAAATTAATATGAAATTAGGCTCATAAATAATAAGATTAAATCATTAAATTCATTCAGTTACGGATGCTGAGAGTTGGCATTGGCTTTTTACAGAAACTAAAACAAATTGCCACTATTTAAAATAAAACAGGTGGAATGTTGGTTTTACTAAATATGTTTAAACTGTTTAAATTTAAAATTATCAAAATATTATCAATTTATCAACATACGCTCGTCTTTCTTCTAGCCTGAGTAAAATCTTTTCCATCTTTCTTGAAAACTACCTACTTCAAAATAATTTTTTAATTTATCAGTTGTTTTATTGTAGTTGAAACATTTTATTTTAGATTCTTAGTGACTTTAGGTTAAACTTAGTGAATAAAGTTTCTTCAACTTTCGCCTTGCAACCATGGTAAGATTGTATAGATAAAAGTACAAAATGGACAGGCTTAAAAGTTTAAAACAATTATATAAATATGATTTCAGTTTGAATTTTTAAAACTTTTCATTTGATCTGCTGACAAACTCCTGTGAAATATGTTTAAAAAATTCAAAAGTTTATGCAACTATATACATATTTATGATTTAGAACAACAACACCACAAAACTTTATTTTTAAACATTTCCTTAGATTGTCACAATAGTTTTATATTTTTGTGTGGCATTTTTGTTTAAATTGATTGCTGACATACAACCATTTTGTTTTCTTCAATTTGGCATTAAATTATTTTAAACTAATTTCCAACATATGTTTCTTCAAACAAAACTTGAGAATTTAGTTTTTATTGTTTTGAACTAGAAAATTATTTGCAACAAGTCTGGCTCGCTATGGTTTATGAGACTTCATATTAAACTAATATTTACTAATAAATTATTTTTGTCCAGTTATGGTAAATGACAGTTAAATAATGAAATCCAAAAATGGCGAGGATAATGAACTCAACAACCTTTATTTCTTTTCTATTCTTTTTATTGCAATAACAATTTAGAAGATAGAACAAATTAGAAAAGGTTATTTAGAAAAGAAAAAGAAGAAAAGAATTCTTAAAAAGAAATATTATTGAAAAGAATTTATTTAGGAAAGAAAAAAAGGTTATTGAGTGCATTGTCCTCGCCACTTCCAAAAAATAAAAAGGAAAAATAACTAAATAAAAAGGAAAGAAGAAAACATAATAAACGTGAAATCATTTCAGAAATTTCAGATGTTTTAATGTACAATGGACTAAGGGTTGCAATGTCATCATTATCGGCTTCCAATAATTTTTTCAATTTTATTTATAACCTTCTCCAATAATATTAATTTTTATATATTTTTGAATAGCAGGAAATAGAAGCAGGCTTCAGAAATAGGACAGCAAGAGAAAATCCAATATCATAAAAATAATTTTTTCTGCTTGTTTAGTTTTCTAATTTCTGGCCAGAAAAATTACTAAGGACTTAACTCCCTAGTGGTCTAACATAAAGGTTCAACATATTTGAAACACCATTTTATCCAACTTCCGATTTTCATTTCATCAATATCTTCTTCTCCTTCTGGGGCAACACTGTTCCTTTGTCTTCTTTTAAACTCATGAGGGCATGCAAAATGTCTTCTGTGACTTGGCATAACATCCCTCCATTTTTATAAATGTTAAAGAAATGATGAATGATAGTGTGTTTGAAACTCCTTCAACCTGATGATGAGTGTTTAATGCTTGAAATCCGGATTGTTTTTTTCAAGACCATACCTTCATCCAGAGTTTTCGTGTACTGGCCAGAGGAGGATCTACAAGACCATACATAGGACCTGAACCTATTCTTTGGGATAACAAGAATAAATATAGAATCCTCCATCGCAGAATAGATCCAAGCAAAACAAAAGCAGAGGTGCATAAACTCTAGCAGTGCTAGACATAGTAAACTTATGATAAAACAACCCTCACCAAGACTGGCAAAAACACTGCTGCAATTAGAGAGGGCCAAACTCAGAGGAGTGGTAGGACTACTAACCGGTCACTGGCATCTGAGAAATCATCTACACAACATGGGTATATACAGCGATGACCCCATTTGCAGATTATGTAATGAGGAGGAGGAAACAGCCACCCATATCATCTTCGAATGTGAAGCAACAGCCCAATGGAGGTTTAACCTAACGTAAGGAAAAAACTTAGGGAATCAAATTGCAACAGCAACAGTCAATGACATGATACTTCTAAGAAGAAGGATTGAGTCTATTGAACTGTGGAACTAGGAAGGTACAATAAGCCAGAAGGCTGCAGTGCCTGGGGAGTACAAACCCTGCTTCCTAGTATCCTTTTCTAACATACCATACCATACCAGAGTGTTCGTGAGTGAAAAAGTGGTCAATACTTCTAACACTGACAATATCTGTTTATCTGTTTCTACCGCTCCTAATATATTCATATGCCACCAGGGTCTGCAGTGTGTAGTTAACAGTTCAAATATTATTCTAGTCCTATCACATCCTAGATTTAGTAGGTCTGCTGTTAGGTTTTGAAATGGTCCTTTGATAAACTTTTCCACGTTATTATATTTTTATCCATTGTCTGATGGATCCAAGTTTTTGGCAGTTGGTATGCCACCAAAAGGGTTCAGGGCCAAGAAGTACCCTCAACAAGGTACATACCTAATATGGCGTAGTGACAGGCTAGAAAATGAATTTTTTACCCACAAAAGATTGCTGGGCTCAGGGAGACCAAAAGCAAGGTTTTGTAGCTGAAGCACATGACTGGGACTGGATATTACGAAAAATAAAAAGAAAGTTCATGTGCATAGGCTCTTTGTAGTGAAGAGAAATATTTTCAATGGGATCCACCAGACTCAGTGTGACCTTCCAGTATGATGTTTGGGTTGAAACATCAAGCATATAATCACATTTTATTTATAAAGCAACAATTTGATTAATAATGTAATTAATAAATTATTTATAAGGAAAAATTTGAATTAAATAAATAAAGCCAAAGTGTAAATTATCAATAATAGTATAGCTTGGATTTACAAACTGCATATACACCAAGTAAACAATTCTGCATGTCTAGAGAATATTTAACTTGTTTTTTCAAGTGTATAATAATATTTGTTTTTGTGAAGGAAATTTTGTCAATTCACTCTGGGAAAGCTGGAATAGATGTAGGATTATCGTGCTGGGACCAGTATTTACGGGAGCATTATATCCTCTCGAACGGCGGCATGGATCCTAACAACCCTTGTTACAATGAACTTTTAGAGTACAACACATTCTTCGAAGAATTAAACCCAAACGTTTTCACGCCGAGGGCGCTGCTCATCGATTGTGTTCAGGATGATCTGGGTAGTTAGATGCGATTCGGGTCCGTTCAAATTATATTATTTAAAGCAGGTATGTTCCAGAGAAAGTGAAGCAAGATCCAAAAATGTCGATATTCAGAAAGGATCAAATGATACACGGGAACGAGTACACATGCCATGTCTACGCAAAAGGACATGGTTTCGCTGGAAAAAAGATTTTAGACCAGAGTATGGAGGCTATAAGGATAATGGCAGAGGAATGTGACCATCTTCAGGGGTTCATTTTCTACCGATCACTTGGAGGAGGAACAGGCACTGGATTTACATCACTTTTGACTGAAAAATTAACATCAACTTTTGATAAAATTGGAATACACGAGTATTCTATACTTCCAGGATCTCATGTAAACAATAATCCAAAAATTAATAATTGTCATGTTTTAAAGTTTATGAGTGTTTCAATTTTTTTCTAGCCTTCAAGTTCTGCTGTTGCAGTTTATAACACAGTATTGAGCATAGCTGATACATTGCAAACACCTAAATGTGCGTTCATGTTCGACAACAACATCTTGTTCAAATGGTGCAAAGAAAGGTTGAACATCCTCGATCCATCGTACAGTAACATGAATGATATCCTAGCACGGATTCTATCTTCCATCACTGCATCATTGAGATTCCAAAGTGCTCTTAATGTTACATTAGATGATTTTCATGTAAGAAGATATTTACTAGCAAGACATACAATTTCCCTATTTTCATTACGATGCACTTTTTACAGAGGTCTTTAATACCACATCCTCAGTTGTGCTTTCCTCTGGCCTCTTTTGCACCAATTTCTCCAAGCAGTGAACCGACTGAATGCACCGCACATGAACTGATAAAAGCTTGTTTTTCGGATGAAAATCAACTTTTGAATTGTCGACTTAAAAACGGGGAGTTTTTAGCTTCCAGTTTAATGTTTAGGTAGGTAAAAATCAAATTTTGTCAATTCCATTTTTGTGATAGAAGTTAACACACTACGTACAAAACTCATTATTTGTTCAATAGTCAAATTTTTATATACTGCTCATTTCTTATATTTGTTATGTTATTAATAATATTAACTTACTGTTCCACATATATATATATGTATTAGTAATTTATTTAATAATTTGAATGTAAACACCCAATTTTGACTTTTCAGTGGTAATGTCAGAACTGTAGACGCCAATAAAGTTTTGACTAAACTTAGAAGCAGCAATCAAATAAAGTTTGTAGACTGGTGTCAATCTATTTTCAAAGTAAACACTTTTTTATCTTACACTTCCACATTCATTTTTTAATGTAAAAATGTTATAGGCTGGCTTTAATCCCAGACCTACTCATATATACCCCAAAACTGAACTTGCTATAACAAAAAGGCAATTGTGCATGCTCACAAACACCACTGAGCTGTCAAAAGTGTTCAGGGGTCTAAGGAGAAAATACGAGAAACTGATTAAGAAGAAAGCATTTTTCCATTTGTAAGTAAACTGATGATAAGCACAAATATGCACATGTATGTACATGCAGAGTTGAGCCATCACTTCTCGCAATTCATCAGCTTCAAAATCAGCTTTTGTGATTTGCAATTTACTTAATCACCAGCAGGCCTCAAGAATCTGCCCCCCCCCCCCAAGTTTTGTCAATCTGGGGCCATACCGACCAACAACGGGCTCCGTGGACTACCAGCCATTCAATCTCTCCCTCAGTCTTGAATACACCCTTTCTTATTTACATACTATTCACTCAGTTAAGATGATGTAGTACTTGATATTTCTCCATCACCCTTTACACCAATTATATAATAACTAATCATTGGTGTACTCAATATTTCACCCTCTTACATTATGCATTCACGCTAATAAATACATTCACTCTCAACTCACACTAGAAGACAAACTTTCAGTACTACCTACAACAAGACAACCCTCTCTTCTACAAGTCAAATCCACCAAGGACCACCAATGGACAGTACTCTTGAAATCTGAGAGCTTCTCTGCTACCAAAAGTAAAGTAAATTAATTTGTGTAATGTGTAAAAACAAACCTTTTTTGAGTGTAGTCGATGAGGTCAGTGAAGTCGAACCACTTTACAATATCTTTTACATATTATTTCCTATTAAAAATCCCTGGGCTGTGCTGGCATTCAAACCCAGAACCACTAGTGTGGTTTATACTAGACAGACGCATTCGCGCTAATAAATATATTCACTCTCAGCTCACACTAGAAGACAAATTTTCAGTACTACCTACAACAAGACAACCCTCTCTTCTACAAGTCAAATCCACCAAGGACCACCAATGGACAGTACTCTTGAAACCTGAGAGCTTCTCTGCTACCAAAAGTAAAGTAAATTACTTTGTGTAATGTGTAAAAACAAACCTCTTTTGAGTGTAGTCGATGAGGTCAGTGAAGTCGAGCCACTTTACAATACCTTTTACATATTATTTCCTATTAAAAATCCCTGGGCTGTGCTGGCATTCAAACCCAGAACCGCTAGTGTGGTTTATACTACTCAGATGCATTCACGCTAATAAGTATATTCACTCTCAACTCACACTAGAAGACAAATTTTCAGTACTACTACTACAGTCGTAGTGTGGTTTATACTAGTCAGATGCCATAACCACTCAGTCACCAAAGACCTCTCAAATATGATTTTATTTACAAAGAAAATCAATATTCTATTAGAATTTGAATAATTGTAGTTGTTTGATCTGAAAAAATAATAATTTGACATTATTTTGTTTAACCTCCTTTTCCTAGTCTCTCCACAAACTTAGAAGTGTGCTCTTTCATCCCACTTCAAGTCAACCAATTTCTAAAACTGAGGAACAGTAAATCATTCATTGTACAAATCCTTGTATGGATTTGCTCCCATAATGTCAGTGGTGGTTCTCCTAAATGATTGCATGTTGCACCTGGAATGATGCTGTATTTGTAAATATTCTTTTCCAATTCCTCCATGACTGCTCAGCATGTCAGCTGTCTGTAATAGTGTCGCATTGATAAATTCATATTTCATTGTGCATTTGGAATGTTGTTATCCACCTTTTCTGACACTCACACTCTTCTTCTCTGCCATTGTTGTCACACAGGATTTTAGTGCGGTGATTAGCAATTCTGCCTTGATTAGATTTTTTGCCATTGAATTTGCTTCTTCAATACCCTTGATCCTAGCTTATACTTCTTGTATGCTTTTCCTCATTAATTTTCACTCATTATGTCTGTTATTCTTCTGATAGCCGAGGCCATCGAGCTTCTTTCCTTGTAGTTTTCAATCTTGCCCAATGAGTTTTGACTATCAATCATTATTATAGAACTTTTAGTGTTTAATTAGCCATTGATGTGTTTTTAAGTTTGCAGACAATTCGGAATGAGAGCACCAGCTGGTGTTTCTTTTTGTTGCCTATCTATCTATCTGCCTTATTCTCTTTCTTCTCCTTTTAACATATATGTAAACCGCACTAACACTTAGCATGTTATTGTTTTCAGGTACATGGATGAAGGAATGGAAGAGCGTGATTTTTTCGGCGCCGCTGAAAAATTGCATACCCTGGAAAAGAATTACGAAGAAATACAGCATAACAATTACTGTCCTAAAAACGCAATTCTCGAATAACGCAAGCCGATGAAATATTAAATATCATTTGGCCAAATTTTGCCACAGGCCGACATTAGGTCTGTAGTTCTTCAGTTCACCCTAGTACTCTTTTTCAGATGATTCTCGGATTAAAACGGTTGTAGAAAAGTTTGTTTTTTTAATTGTGGCAAGTTAACCGAAATCCAATGTTTGTTTATTAACTTATTGTTTGAACGGGGTGAGTGAAAAAGAAGGAAAGAAGTAATACACTTTTGTTCATATCGGATTGTTAGCCGAATATGGGAGCCAGAAAATCAGTATTTTCGACACGTCAACCCCGCGGATTTTCCGTTTACGCTTTCACCTCACATCGAATCGATATATGAAGTTGAAAAAAGAAGTTATCTCAATTTACTTAAAATATTTTCAAAAGTTCAATGAGCTTTAAACTTTTGAGTTTTGATCCTTAAAAATTAAGAACTTAGAAAACATGACGTCTTGAATATCAACACGATTGCCAGCAGTGATCAAACAACGTGTCAATGATTGTTTTCAAAATTTAGTGTCACAATTAATCGGTATGTCACTGTAGGTCTCTAAATCGCAAAACAGTAAATCTTGCATGATAAATTATCCTTCTCAGGCGGTAAGGGAAAAATGCTCCATTTCGGGTGATACCACCGACGCCCACATTGTCTGGCATCCTCCAAAATGTCATAAATGGCATTTTTAAATGCTTCTTTGTCAACCACCAACCTTTGAATAATTTGGCCGCTTGGCGCAACATAAAATACTTTTTTTGTAAGGAACGTCCCATGCCATCACTAATCGGACATTTCGCATCATTTAAGCCATACTTTGTTTTAGTTATAGCCCTGAAAATCGGTGGGGATAGTGCCGTGTCAGTACCGACTGAATTCTGACCCACTTTGCTAAAGTAAAACTGATCCACCCACTTAGATTTACTCGCTGATTTGCGCTTTAAATTCTTTATGTAGCTGACCGCTTTTCAGCTTGTCTTTCAACCGATAACTTTTCCCGGTAATCTGTACAATACGGGCGTGGTGTAGCAACCTATGCATGGATGCTGTCAGCGCCTCATCGTCACCAAGAGGCCATTGAGTAAAAAGGCAGATTGCTGGTTAGGATCACACTCCCCGCTTCATATCGCTTTGCTACCACTTGGAAGAACAGGTTTGCTTCTTCCTTACCGAAAGGTAACTAGCAACTTCATCGATAATCAGTAGTCTCGGTTTATTGATAACGCGGTTAAGATACCCTTGCCGATGGAAGGCAAGCAGCTGCAACGGATGCTTAATAGCAATGCAGAAATTCATGTACTTTATGTTATTAATACCAAAAAATATTACTAAATTATTAAATTCACTAATTTCGTGGTCCGCTTGACCAATTAATATATTACAATTAATTAAGGTTTTTTAGTCGAGATAAAAAAATCAATGGCACGAGCGGGATTCGAACCCACGATCTTCGGCTTGAAACGCCGCTGCTGTACCACTTGATCTATCGTGATCTCGATCCACTCGGACATCAACTTCCCATCTCAACCGCACCTTTTGAATTTTCCCTCCTTTTTGCCATTTTTCAAATGTCGTGTAATCGGATTGGATTCATTTCATTTGTCGTCGAGAATCCATTCATCACCTTAATTAATTGTAATTACTAAATTAGTTAATTTTATTATATTAATTAATAAATTACGAAAAAATCATTATGATTTAATTATAAACTTAGCCGATCGATGGATTGTGCCTTTTTTGGTAAGATGTATTCCTGCCAAGATAAAATTTTCTCATAAATTCAACCATAGAGGTACAAACCATTGGTCTTTAAATTTTACACATATTGTTAAACCAACTGGAAAACATGTTGTTGAACAAAATCTTTCTACATTAAAACCGCTTAAACTTAATACTTTGTATTCTAGTACAACAACGGCTTACCAACCAACTGATTGGAGGAAATTGCCAATTAATTTCTTTAGGTGTAGATAGTAGTTATGTTGTTATTCAACCAACAGGTAGACAAAAATATAAGTGCTGGGATGATGAAAAATTTGCTGATATAGATTTCATCAACTCTAGGCAGTGAAATTAGCTTAAAACGTATAGCTGACTGCTTAGGGTTGATGAAATCGATCTAGAAATTAAAAATAACCATTTTCGTAACTTTTTAGATTTTGGAATTAATCTTTGACACGTTGTTTGGTCACTGCTGGCAATCGTGGGGATATTCAAGACGCCATGTTTTCTAAGTTCCTAATTTTTAAGTATCAAAATTCTGCAGGATGCAGCAAGAAAGGTTTAGCACAACTTTACAAGACAATGCTTGAAAATTTACTTTTTTTTAGTGTAAAGCTCATTGAACTTTGAAAATATTTTAAATGAACTGAGATAACTTGTTTTCGCAACTTCTTATATCGATTCGATGTGGGGTGAATGCGTAAACGGAAAATCCACGGTGTTGACGTGTCGAAAATACTGATTTACTGGCTCCTATATTCGGCTAACAATCCGATATGAACAAAAGTGTATTATTTCTTTCCTTCATTTTCACCCTCTTCAAAAAATAAATTAAAATCTCTCTGTGCGAGTTCAATAGAGTTTATTAATGCGTGGTGTTTAGTGACCGTTAGTCAATGATTATTCGGAGATCGTGAGATGCGGTCTGGTGTGACGTAGGTTTTAGAAAAACGTTTTCTTTGTCGTGCCACGTTTCGAGCTTTATTGAGATCATCTTCAGGGCTCAAAGTGTTTGTTTTCCGTGTAGATGTGTCATTCTTGTCTGTAGTGTGCACTTCCAACACCAATTCGTAAAAATTGACGAAAACCTTATTTAGACCTATTTAATTTCGCAGTTCCTCACTCTTAAATAATTCAATATAAACTAAAATGTTTTGTATTTTTTCTAACCTGGTGAAAAATTGTTCACCGATGGCAGGTCGTCTTACCCTGCAAATTAATGGGTTTATTTATTTTTAATATGGCAAATTTGAAAACAACTACATTTTGAAATTAGAATGCTGGGATGTATTTTGCCCTAAAACGTAATAATAACGCTAGGTAAACTTTGAGAGAGAGAAAAAAAAGGAAAGTATAAATTTGAAGAAGTAACGAATAATTAATTTCCAATACGTTCTCAAGTTGGGTCGAACAATAAATAATTATTTGCGATTTGATCACGCAAACGCACATATGTGCATAATCAAGCCTACGACTTGACTGGAAGATGGTTTCTCTCTGAAACTTTGATCTTGTTCTAAATTATTCTCTCTTTGAGTGTGAGTTCGATTGAGTTTATGAAATTTTAAAAGCAAAACATTATTCTTGGATTTAAAGGAGTGAAAAATATGTCAATTAGACAATTAGACTATAGTGAGACAAAAGTGAATATCGTTCGCTTAAAGCAGGGGGAAAAACCATGAAAACGCCTAAGATGTACCACCAGTCAAACTTTGAGAAAAAAGGAAACTATAGATTTGGAGAAGAAAGAGCTTAGTATTCTTTTAATTTAATACTTTTTCAATCTGGGGCGAACAATTGTTTTCTATTGTGAATGAATGAATGAAAAAACAACTTTTACAAAAAGAAAATAAATGTGAATACTTAAGGAAGTATAACAGAAAGTAAAATAAAAACAGTTTTTAAGCAGCATTGATTATTAAACCGTCTGCTGCTAGAAGTGGTGGGTCGGCTGAGAAGTTAACAAAATTAGATAAAAACTGTTAGTGCTTCTCAATATAAAATTAAAACTTAAACTGTTCCATGAGTTCTCCGCAATACTCCAGTCCCTTTGCAAATCCAACCGGGTCTGGACAATCTGGGGAATTAAGTTGTGTGATCAAACGCGGTCCCAAAACTCTAGTAGTTCCCAAAAAGAGAACTAAAACTCCGAAAGAATGGTACACTTAGCCAAAAAATGGAAGAAGTCTTCCAGCACTCAGGTTACCCGATGAGCAAAGCTAAACAGAACCATCCCTGATAGGGAAGTAATTATGGTATATCAGTTCGCACCTGAGTTTGAAGAACCAGCTTGATAGAGGAAAACTTTAGATTATTATTGGGCAAGTTGAAAAAATGCCTTTGAATGATCAAGGTCTTTGTAGAGCAGAAATCTATTGAATCTAAGAGCCAGTTCGGTACAACGTTCAAATTGCTTAGAACAAATGGATGATTCAAAAGCCGAAAAATTATAGAAGCAGTCTTCATAATTGTTAAAGCAAAACAAATAGATATTGGGCTAAAGAAATGAGTGCTTTAAACCAAGATAAATTAGCGTTAATTATTTAAACTGCCGTAGTTTCGGGGAGTCTGCAGTCAGGCAGTGAGATTGTCCTGCTTAGATATGAAGGTGTAAATAAACAAATGTTTATTAAACAGATGTTTTTAAGTGTAACATGTAGTTAGGCGTGAAATTCAGGAGGTGCAACAATTTACGAATAAAATAGCTGAAACGATTCGACTAGTTTGATACCCCCAAACCATCGAGCGACCTGCCTTAAAAACCTTGAGCATTAGGTGAAACAGAAGGGTGTGAGAGAAGGTTAGGCCGATTTTAGTCGAGAATCTTTAGGTATTTCCACACTCGTTCAAGAATTTTCTGCCATTGCGGAGACTTTTTCTGACCACCTACCCATCACACCAGTCCATCTCTTTTCTCGTCTCTACAGGTCAACCTTGTCTGATCTCCGACGTTGATCGATCTGTACCAAAATGTCAAATACTTCTCGTACAATAGCCAGGAAAGTAACATTATTAGCCCAACAATTAACATTATTATTAAATTTCAAAAAATGCAATTAAGTCTTGCCCTAAAAAACCGCAGACGTTTCTAATCTGTCGAAGGAGTCCGTGGTTTGAATTTGAATGTCTACCAGAAAAAAAGCATTCACATTGATTAATTTATACCGCAAAAGAAACTGATTTGTTAAAAACCGATTACTTAGAAAGGAAGAAATGTTTTGTTGAACTTTGTTTAAGAAAGAAAAAGCTTACTTTTCGACCAATTGATACTAAGGTTTAAGGCAAAAATTACAGGCCACGCTGACAAAATTCCTGTCTCCGATTGGGTCAGTTATTTCTCTAAGTACTCTAATTATTTATTTTATTTTACTTTTTGTACTTTTTAAAGAGCACACATGA